CTATGTTTCAGAAAAAATTAGCTACTAATTTTAATTTAACAATTAATAAGATGTGTAGTAAAGCCTTTAGAATATGAACTTCAGAAGCGAAAGAAGCACCCAAAAATTTAAAACGACATGAAAACAAAATTACGAAGTTTCTCCATTTTAGAAAGTTTGAAACTGTGAATGTAAAGGCACAATGCATATTTGAACATAGATCAATCACGTCATTGGCACACGTTTTATGAACTTGTTAGTCGCTGTCCAATAAGAAACGGGCTGTGACAGCACGTGCATATTGGCACGATATTTCCAGCTAAAAACTGTTCTTATTTAGGATGTTTTCCTGTTTGTTTGGCAACATTGTGGTAATAAAAGCATGCCATTTGTAGAACAAGCACCGTCCCTATTTTACATTTATCTTCATCATTTATTTCTCCTCCTGAAGTAAATTAATTATACATCATCTCGATTATTGTCATTTTACAAGAAGATTCATATCAGATTTTTTGGCGAATTTAAGATATTCCAACCCTATCGAATTAGTCTAATCCTCGTCGTGAGTGTAAGTACAAATGATAGGAACATCAAGCTTTGCTGATCCTCCATGGAAAAATTAAATTAGGCCTTTTAACATCTGTGTTAATGACATTTTTCGTGTAATTTTTAGCTGTGTTAATTAAGAATTTACAGTATGACGAACTGACCCGAAACGTAAGTTGTATTGCCTGGTTTTCTTAGCTTACTACAGTAATTACGGACAATATTATAATAGTAAATTGACAAACAATGATTTACAAGCATAATGAAAATTATTTCATGTAGTATCTTCTCAACATAAAATAATTTTCAGTGTGACTATAACTCGTTGTTTGTCAGTTTCCTGTTGTGTTAGTATAAGGTACTTCCGTACGCAAGTATACAACCAATATTTAAATCTAATATATATCATATATTTAAAGCTTTTTATTCATCATTATTCATGGTCAGTTCAAAGACTATGGGGTTTATAATTTTGAGATACGTACATACCACACAACAGCGAGTGACTAAAACCACTCCTATGCATGTTTACAGAGAGATAAACGGAAGTCTGATTTTGCTTAGCCTACTTAATGCCTGATTTCAATACATCGGTGACATTTGGTTCTTTAAAATAGTTTTAACTGTGTGTCTTATGTTATATATACAGATAGATAGATAGGCTCAATCGTTGTTGTGGAATCTCTCTCTCTTGTTATACTTTTTTGCTAGACCATAAAAGACTTATAAATATTTTGTTTCTTAGCTTAAAACTTGGCTTATAAATTAAGCTAGAGTAACAAAAAATCAGAGCACAACTATGCTTCAAAATCAAAATAGGTCGAAATTTTTAGCAGTTCTTTTTTTTTTACCTTTGCTAATGTATGCTCAACAGTTGTTATGCTAGAATAGAATAGAAATTGATCAAGCAATTTGAAATAATTACATCGTTTCTTGATCAAATATTTGTTTTTATTATCTCATGATTATCTAAACTCTCTATAGTCTTCGTGACGTTTAGAATCGTTCACAAGTAATCCTGAGTGATTTTTTAATAAAAATACATTCTTTTTGAAGACGTTAAGACATAAATCAAGAACGGGCACATTCAGACTTCGTGGTTTCACTTGGGGGACTTAGCCAGTCACTGTTACCACAGTACATAAATCAACTCAAACGCATTCAGATTTCTTTGTTTCGCGTAGAAGGATGTAGCTGGAATAAATAAACACTTGAATAAAATTCCGATCTTGGTTTTCATTTAGAAGAATCATAGAAAGCGGTTCAATATCTTTACGAAAAACACACACACTTAAATGCATCGAACCTTGATTGGGTGAACTGATAAGTAACAATCATACAAAACAGTTCAGTATCTTCAATGGCCATGCATCTACGTGTAATACCTCATAAATTAAGCGTATGGTTTATAAAGCTTTGTAATCTGTATGCAGAGGTTGACTAAGTTATTTTTCCGACAGTAGTGTGTTGTCTGTCAGTCAGTCAGTAAACACTAAAATGATGTCACTTAAGGGACGCTTAACGTTGCAATTTGTATTGTCGTGACGTCAGTAAAACGTGTGCATGCCATGAATCACGAGAATAATTACGCACTCTTGTAGGCTAAAATACAGCATGACATATGAACTTCAAAAGCAAGAAATAAAAATATCTGTTACTTTTAATTTTAGTTTTATTTGCTCTTGAAATAAAACACTTTCGGTGACCCTGCAGAGAACATATAGTATTAATTTAGATCCCCACCACGTCGTTACAGTCCATATCGCCACGTCTGATCGTCCTTTATCTGACGACCATGGACTTTGACAATAGCCCTACATTGTAGTTTCCATTGCAAAAGACTCCGTCGTAATGCTGTCACGCCCAAAGCAGACCATTCCTTCTTGTTTGCTCTTCATAAACCGTCTAGTATATAACGACGACAATTTTCCAGCTAGAATTTCAATAGTCTGAGCGCGCATAAATACATAGGCGCTGCGTCCTGCCACTTGACCGGAATATCACGTTTCATTCTCTAGCTGCTTGAGGTATGCGGCAGTTGATCGGATATGTTGTGGAAGAAACTTTGTATGCGTGACTTGTATCACTTCTCCAGACGAAATTCTTTCTTGATTATATTGCGTATTGTTGCCTGGGCTACGTGGACGGCGTCTGCCACTGACCTTTGTGTTCGTGGACAGAGGCGTCGCTAGGTGCTTAAACAATCGGGGCTCGGGCCCATAGCCTCCCCTTACTCAGACCACGGTTTTCTATTCTGATTTTCAAGACACCAACTGGAGATTTGGGCACTGTTAAATAGAATCGGGGTGCGGGTCCCGTGTGCCGGTTCCTAGCGACGTCTCTGCTCGTGTATTCTCAGCTTTTACAAGACGATGCACTTACCACGGTTGGGATACGACTTTTTGCAGGTCCACTTTTTAATGGTCCTGGTTCCCATTTGATTTGTGTTTCTTTGTTTTCCAATGCCATTAAGTACAAGGGATATCCCCGTCATGGAAGTTCTAAATTCCCAATCCGAACACATCTTTATAATCTGAGCGTATGCACATTTTGCGTTGGAAAGGGCTGTTACATACCTTTTTAAAAAGCGATCAATGTTTGGTGGCATCACACTACACACGCCCTGACAAACAATGCCAACATGTATTTCTGATGCATACTATTCCACCATAACTTTATATCTGCTGTGGTTGTCACGTGACTTGCTGATTTGCATATTCAAAATCGTTTTAGTATAACGTACTCGACCTTTTGTACTTTTCAACAGTGCTTGCTTCTCTTTTATATTGGCAGTACGTCAATAAACCTCGATCAATTCGGAGATTTCACTGTGAAACTGAAGTGTGTCAAGCACCTACCGTGGAACTTGTTTGCGGTCGAAACACAGTATTTCTGTATACAGACAACACAATCTTGTCTGGGTGTGTGCGGAAATTTCAAGTGGTTTTTGTAATATATATATATGTGTGTTAATAACATTCTCACCAACCAAGGACTATTGTGGTGAACAAGGATCGCGCCAAAACCGTACAAGGACTTAGTAGTCTTAGGCTTCACCCACTCACACACTTAAGTAAAGCATGTGGTTACACACTGGAAAGATGGTTTTGATGTACTTAGTGTCACACACATATTCTTGAATAATAGAGTCCGTACCTATATATTTATCTTAGAAAGTTTCTTTGTTACTATATTTCTTACTTAATGTAAGAGTAGTAACCCTGTTCTACAGCCTAATTGTTAATAGTAATGTAATTGTGTTTATTTGTTTTTTCTGACAGTATTTTGCTAAAGAGAAGTGCTCGAGCAAATGCTAGCGACCTCTGTATTAGTAAGTTTTGCTGAACAACTTTTCCTATATTATTCTAGCATGAACTATATCTGTAACAGAAAGTTGTGAATCGGTAAATCGGAATTCTTTGAAACCGACTAAATAGGAATAAAACTGACAATCCTTTCAGAATTCTGAGGCAAATTTATCGGATCGAATTTCAGCTATCATGAAAACTTGGAAAGAAACCCAAAAGGCTAGAGCAGTTTCTAAGACGAAATTTTTTAGTTCACATGAATTAAAAAAACAATATCTTTCAATATATATATACGTTATTTTTATTTCAACTTGAACTATCTAAAATAGCACAATTTACATTCAAGTGCTAATTTATTATATACTTACATTGGGGTGTTATTTTTTTATATTTATATTCAAGTAATTATTTTCTATTGCAAAAAGTAAGGATTTTTATATTACGTTATTTACTACGATCAACCAGGTTACTGTATTACCAAAAGATGGATTTTTTAAGAAACCTGTAAAAATATAATTTTGGAAAAAATGAGGCGCCCTCTGTCTCTTCGAAGGCTGGGAATTTTAAAACATTGCCCCTCTTAATTTTCTGTTGCGCTATATGAATGGCTATAAAAATATTTGTTTATTCATACCTTCAGAGCTAACAAAGTGGAAATTGTTTACTTTGAGGTTAGTAAATATGTAATATAGAACCCACGTTATTTTCTTAACGATAAAAATATTTTAAGTTGCGTAGTGTACACAGACACTTTGAACTTTAAATAGCGACCATCGACCAAACCTCACAGTCCATTATGCCGCATAGCCTTGGTTTCAAATAACCTTCAGATAGCTATACTGTTACGATAGTCTATTGTCCCAAGTAGTTGGAATATGGCACGTCTCCTGCCCAGTTTAATTAGTTGTTTGTGTCCAGGTGAGCTTTGCTTGCGATATGACGTCATCATTGTCAATACAGGTGGTGCTTGCAGTCTGCAGAGAAACTAGTTTAATGATATCGTGGAATAACTAAAAACAAGTAGTAAAAACAAACTTGTCCTGATTTTCTTATACGTCTAAAAATCCCATGTTTGAAGAAGCTAGACGTCAATTTTTGTATAGACAACGCCATAATCATTGACTTACGGTGAATAACGAGGCTAATTTTCTGATCAATTTCTTACAGTGCATTCCGAGTGCAGTGACAGTTAACCGCCGGCTTATTCCTTCGCTCAAGAAATTCAATGTGGAGGATTGGGAGTACATGTATGTTCACAGATCACAGTGAACCGAGTTTTACACTGTTGGAATTAAAAGATGCTTTATACAAAAATAATCTAGCTGTTCGTTGTCAAAGGAGCCCGGTACAGCAACAAGAAGATAACCAGAGCTCCAAGATATAGCCAGTAAACTTCTGTATCCCAATCTTATACAAAATCTGGTTTACATTACCTTTACAACAGCGGAATCTGTTTACAGAACGTTTTCAGTTTTATCGTTTTATTTTGTAAAAAACAAAACAAAATTGAGTACATAGTTTAACCTATGCACGTGTATGTATTTATGTATATATGTAGACATTATTATAGACCATCCGTGCAATAAATGAACACAACGATAACTATTTTAATCAGCCGTCCTTTGAATTCGTCCATGATGCCGTGTGGGTTGTGATTTTATGAACCGGATAATGTTCCGTGAAGAAAGAATTCATGCTTCACGTTTGGTTATCGTGCTGATCCTCTGGTTGGTGACCGAAACTTTTCAGTTTCCCGAAAAAGGAAAAAGTTAGTATTGTATTAATGTTACATTAGTTAATATAATAACACTCTACGCATCATACCGTATTATTAGAACGATAATACATGTTTATTAAGTTATTTTTATGCTCGTGACTTTTTTATGTTGGTGATAACGCTTTGACTACCATTTGTATTTTACACAAATGAATAACATATGACTAGATGTTCAATTAAGAATTCCAGCACTCCCATGGATCTGAAGTGTGGCCCTTCATCAATGCAGATGTGCAACAAGTCCAAAGAAAGGTGTGGGGTGGCTGCATTTAGCAGTAATTATGTAAAGCAACCATACATAAAACAAAATTACAACAAAACAATGCACGTCTCTCTTAAACACATTCTAATGTCTATGTCTCGAAGTTTTGCACTTTTGAGGCGATTCTGAGACCTTAAGCCAAGCGTGTTTTTAAACAAAGTTATCCAATTATGCATCATACAAGATATGATTGCAAGTATACAGTGGAAAGAATGTGTTGCTGTTTTAAGCACATTATGGGTTTTCACCGAACTTCGTGCCTAGTTTCAACATCGCCAGCTTCAACATTTATTTACCGCGAGGATTAAACGACGTGTTTATTTATCACGATTTTGTTTTGTTGTTAATTTAAATGTAAATGTTTCGCTCTAAAGATTGGAGGTAAGTTTTCACTCTTTAGTATCTCCGAGAAATATTTTAATTTTGCTTATGAAAGTAAGTAAATGTTGCCCGTGAAGGTAAGTAAAGTGGACTAAGCCTATTTATAATTTCTTTATCAATACGTTCCGCCTATACGTAAAGTACAATTTGTATAGAAAAAATAATAATGGTAATGTGTATGTCACTTGTTAATCCTGTGTAAGAAGTTCGACTGTGTGAAAAAAAGGAGCACTTACTGCCGTTAACACTAAAATTCAACTCCTTCCCTTGCGGATACATCACCCAACTTCCAATATTAATACAGTCAGTCACCTTGTTTTTACTCGGATTAACTTAGTACTGTTTTTAATTATCTATATTTATTGTTTAATATTTGTTTTATTTAATTTTCATGATTAATACTTATGATCACTAATTATTATTATTATTGATTTAATTACTTACTTTATACTAGCCACAATAACTAGAAACTTGCTAACCAGCCCAATATTACAAGTGTTCGATAACGGAAATCATAAACCTGTGTTTGTTGTATAAAATAAATGTAATTCGTAAGAAAACAAATACACACACAAAGACTAATATGAAACAAAGAATACGTAAAATAAAATCAAAGTAACAATGTAAAAAATACTATAAACAGAATGTTATGTAACCCTACTTCAGAAGATTGTCTTAAAGTAATCAAATTATTTGTAAGCAATGTGGGGCCTAGAGTAGCTTAGAGGTTTGAGAGTTCGCGTTACGTTGTCACCCAAAATGCGCTCAGCACCTTGAAGCCGTGAGTGCGCTATAAGAGTGACGGTCAGTCCCACTATTCGACTAGAGTAACCTAAAAGTTGTCGGTGAGTGCGTTGACCAACCGCTTTCCATTAAGTCTATCAATTCGAAACTATAGAAGGATATCGAAACCATTAGCTTAGATTTTCTCCCCGGTAGCACAATGGTATGTCTGCGGACTTATAACGCTAGAAACTGGGTTTCGATACCCGTGGTAGGCAGAGCACAGATAGCCCATTGTGTAGCTTTGTGTTTACCTACAAACAAACAAACACGCTTAGCTTTATAGCTTTGCGAGAACATCCTGTGGCAACTAATATCTGTAAGTAATGTAACATGAAAGCCGTAGTTAATAGCACTAAAGTCTCATCTGATGGAAATAAAGCCACAAGAAGAATATTTAAAACAACAATACAATATTTTCCATCATTTGTAAACGTAGTCACCAAACTAGTGAGATGAAAGTAAGCATTCAGTCATACTGAAACGTTATAGATCTGTTAACAATATACATATATATATATATATAGCACTGCGTTTCTGGTAGGAAAGTCACCGAATACACTGAAAAGATACAGAATGATCAGTTAGCAAAGCGTGGACGAAAACAAACAAAACACTTACAGGTAAAGAGGCTTTCCACGTCTGTTGGTAGTCTAAGCATACATACGTTAAAGATCTTACGTAACTAGTTCAGAAAACAACAATTAATAACTAGATGTACTTGCGCAGGGTCCCCAAAAGTGTTCTGTTTCAATAGTAAATAAAATCAAAATTAAGAGTAACAAATATTTTTATTTCTTGCTTTTAAAGTTCGTATGTCATACTGTATTGTAGCGTACAGAGTGTATAATTCTTCTCGTGATTCATGGCATGCTCGCATTTTACTGACATCATGACAGTACAATTTACAACGTTAAGCGTCCCTTATATGACGTCATTTTAGTGTCCACTAACTGACTGACAGACAACACACTACTCTAAAATGGTGTGAGTGGTTAAAACAGGTGACCCCCTCCAGACGGCCCTTGGCCCCTTTTCGGGGAAATTATCCTCAGAAGGGCAACAGCATATCGAATTATAACCAGAGGTCTCGTGATCGCATCTCGCATCTACAGAAACCGAAAGTAAAATAAATGGAGATACATTTTTCTTATAAAAATATGAATAAAGTATTTGTATTTATGGTAAAGCTACTAAACCTGTCTGCCGCCGTCTCTAATTTTGAACTACTAACCAGAGGGAAGGCAGCCAGTTAGCAGCACGCTAAGGGATTTTCACTGTCACGCTTATAATTTAATCACAACTTAAGATGCGGGGAATATTTTGTGGCAGCGCATGAATTCGAATCTGCGTCGACAGCACCGAAATTCAGAGTTCTACAACAGGGCTAACCCACGACCTTCGCATAAAGAAACGAACAAATTAACTACTTTTAAATTTTAAACACATGATGTCATTTAAAATTATATCATGTAATTTAATTTGAAAAGATTTGTACATATTTAAAAAATCAAAATGAATCAAGAAAACGTATTAACTGAACACTTTAAAGTTAAAAAAATATGTTAACTTTTTTTTTTAATTAAATAGCAATGTATAAGTGCTTCATTTAGTGGAAAAAAAGATGAAAACTCATATGTTACTATAAGTAATTCATATTTTGTTTACGAAGATTAAGGAAAACCATTAAGAAATGTGTTTATTAATGGATTGAGTTATCTGTTTGTTCTAAAGTTTGCTTAGGGACAAGTTCTCGAATGTTCAGACCTAACGACGCCCAGAACCACAACAAAAACCTTTTGGAACGCTACACGAACTGCACCTATGTTGAAGGGAACTTGGAGCTGACTTGGTTAACTGTAAGTGTACCATTATAATTTAATTTTACCGAAGAACTAAAGAGCTAGTTAAAAAACCAAGCAGTAAAGACTTAGCTCTTGGTTCATAACTGTAACCATTTTTGTTACAATTCAATCTCTTCAGAAGCGTCAATAATGTCCATGTATATATATATATATATAC